CTCCCCCCTCCTACCACCCAATCATTCCTTCAGGAAGCCAGTGTGTCTACACACGAGATATTATACCTATACTAATCTACCCACAGACTTTGTGCTATAACATCCCTGACCTGGCACTCTAAAGTATTTCCGGCTCACTACAATAGAGCACACCATTTCAGCCATATGAAAAGACAAGGAAAGAAAGGCCCCGCACAGTATACAATCAACTACAGTGAGAATCATGTTTATCCCCTTCAATTGGCCGGGAGTAATGGTGTGACCCAGGGCACAGCTCATGGTGTCTGCAATATTTGGAGGCAATTTAAAAAAAAAAAGAAGATGAAGAGCGGCCGTGGCCATGACAGTGCGCTGTCTAAGTGTACGAGTACAAGTCTATGGATGTACAAAAGTGCTGGAGCACGCAAGCATAAGCTGTTTGTTAGGGCAGCGCGTGAGAGCAAACTACACACACGTACACAGACATAGATTAACGCTGGCAGATAGACTTGATTTATAATATCCAAGATTGTGCACTCTCACGTAAATCCAGTTAACCAGCCGAGTGCACCGTTTTACTATTTTTGAAACCAAATAAAGGGCAGTTACAAGGGAAAATCTGGGCACGTACTCGACTCAAAGATCGTTCATAACAAGATAGTTCACTTGGACAAAAAAGTGTCAGCGGAAGTCCGCGCATTGCTTCAGGAGGCGCTGCAGTCTTTGTTTTGAAGCTCTCTTTCGTTTCTCCAGAAGAAGAATAGAGGAATAGCACAGTTTGTTAGTTTCGCTTTTATTACTTTTCACACAAGTAGGGTAACTGTTCGGAAAACGGGCACTTTTTCGATATGGATGCCACCGGATTTTGAGAACACTCTTTTAATTGGCTCAAAGAGATGAGTGAACTATTTTGTTATGTACGATCTTTGACTATGCCAAAGAGTCTACATAACAAGAGGAGCCACTTCTCTCTTTGAGCCAATTAAAAAAGTGTCCTCAAAATTCGGTGGCGCCCTCTTCGCAAATACGCACCTTTGGCGAACAGAGTTATCCTACTTCAGTTTAAAAAATCAAAGTGAAACTAGCAAGTTTTTGAATGAATTTCGGAAGAAC